CACCTGCTGCCCCCGCGCTGCCGCTGCAAGGGCCCACGAGCCGCCGCTTCCCCGGCAAGGGCTGTCCACCCGCGGCCGGGCCGGCTCCGGGGCAGCCCTCGGGGAGGTGCCGAGGGCTGCGGGCGGTGGGCTGCTGCCCCAGAGCCGTGGACGGGAGAACCGGGAGGCTGAGAGCAGGGCGCTCGAGGCGGGAGCTTTCCCTTCGCTCGCGGGGCTTTCGCGCCATGAAACGTGGTCACCCCGCGGGGCAGGCGGCCGGGGCTGTGCCGGGACCTTTCGGGCACAGGCCGTTCACTTCTTCCGCTTCAGCAGCCCGGGTCCGTCGTGCCCCGTGCACACGCGGCTTTGGACTACTGCCGCTGCTACCGACCGCGGACCGAACCGGCCTCTTCACTACTTTTCATTTCTGGAAAACCTCATAGGCGCCGTTCCTACCCGGTCCCTTCCGCTTCCCCGCTCGCCGCCTCTTCAGCAGCGCGGATGCCTTAGCAAGTGCTTGGATGTAACCAGATAAAAAGCCTTGCGACACCTCGTGGAAGCGGACGCTGGTTACGGGCTGGCCTGGGCCTTGCTGGAGCTGCAGCACGGAGCAGCGGGGAGGGAAGGCGGCAGGGTCCCGGGAAGCCCTGGGGCCGCGATGCGAGGCCGCACCGGCTCTCCCCACAGCTGCCTCGCGGAGCGCGGGACTCTTCCCGAGCGGCCGGGCCAATCGGGAGCCGGGCGGGGCCGGCGTGCGGCCGGGAGGGGCGACCAGCCCCCGCTGCAGGTGCCGCCTTGCAAAGGCCGTCCCCGACACTGCTTAGCACGCGGTGCGGCCGGTCCGTGCACCTCGGCACGCAGCAGTGCACACACGCTCAGCTGGGGGTGGGGGGCTAGGAGGGGCGGCGCCAGGCTGACACCCCGGCAACAGCGCCCCCGCGGGAAGGCGGACACGCCCACAGCCTGCACCTACCCTCCCGGGGCCGCTAATATAGGTGCGACCGGGGCTCGCGGCCCGCCCCTTGCAGTCCCGCCCAATCACAGCCCAGAGCAGGCAGAGTGACAGCCGTTCCTCCAATCGGACGCCTGGGGGCGGGGCGCAGGCCCGCCCAATCCGCGCGAGCCCCTCGATGACGTTGTCACGCAGGGCCGTCCCCCCCCTCGGCGGCGCCGCCGACTCTTCCCGAGCGGCCGGGCCAATGGCGGCGGCGCGCGGCGGGGGCGGGGCAAGGGGGGCGGG